CATACATACATACATACATACATACATACATACATACATACATACATACATACATACATACATGGCTTGTGTAATTTCATACTCTTTCCAATAAAGGAATAGCTGGGAGTTATGGAAACCAGAACATCTTGAAAAACTCAGAGCTTGGAAAAAGTAGGTCTCCCCCCCTCCAACCAGCATGTATTCTGGAATTTACAATGCAAAAAAGTAATATTCCAAGTTTTGGGGAAATCCCCATACATTTGGCATTTCTTCTACTTTTTCAGACTTTGTCAGACAGTAATCAGATGACTGTCAAACCTGCCTTTACTCATAAGAACTAAAAACCTGGTTTATTTTAATGAAAACTCTGATTTTTGAGGATGTGAGAGCTAGTATGGTATGGTGGAGAAAGTATTAGATGTTAGATCATGAAATTCATTATGGAATCATGGAATTGGTTTTATAGGATGTTCAGTTCATTTGAAAGTAGATTTCCAAGCACATTTGATTAGAATTACAGGCAGAGATTCTAATGCTAACTTGTGATTCAGTTGAGTCAGCAAGAGATTTATTTGACATACACATTTTTTGATTTGATTTGATTTGATTTGTATCCCGCCCATATGGTCTATTCGACTACTCTGAGCGGCTACACATCCATTTATTTAGAGGGTCTTGGTACTTAGGAAACAGAAAGGAAACTCATACACATTTATTTATTTGATTTGATTTGATTTGATTTGATTTGTATCCCGCCCATATGGTCTATTCGACTACTCTGAGCGGCTACACATCCATTTATTTAGAGGGTCTTGGTACTTAGGAAACAGAAAGGAAACTATGTTTCCTCAACCTGTTAGTAGCGACTAAATCCTAATACAGCTGTCTGGTTTTAAAGTGACTATTAGTACAGGACTAAATCCTTCTAATACAGCTGTCTGGTTTTAAAGTGACTGAATGGTATAAAACGACTGTCAGCAAATACTGTACCACCATAAGCCAGCCAGTACAGCACTGCCTTGACTTCAGCTTTCCTTTCCCAAGGTGAAGGTTGTGTCTGTTAGGCTTGTTAGCTGAGATCTTTGAACCTGTTAAGATGAATTAATGGCTGTTAGTTGCAGAGGCCCTGGTGCACTTTTTAAAAGGTGTGAATTATCAAAGGGATAGCTGCTCAGCCTTGGCCAATATCATTTCATGCCCCCCTGCCCTTTCTTTAAACAGCAGAGAAATGAATTATGTGGTGCTGTGGAGCTTGTAAGATGTAGAATCCTCTGGCTTTGCATATCAGCCTACTTGCAGTGGTAAAGACCATGGAATATTAAGTGGAACCAACATGTTTATTGGCACAAATGTAAGAGTGGGTTATCCCTTTTATTGGACCACTCAAAAAATATATAAAACAAATTGCAAGTTTTCATGGAATAAGTCCACTTCTTCAGGTTCACCACCACCGCTTCATGGATAGAGCAGAAACATTGTAAACAAAAGTCTAAAAATTGATGGCAAATGTCTGTGAGTGGTGATCTCAGTTGCAATTTTTACACCCCGCTCTTAAAGCCAAAAAAATCTCCCAATGACTGTGATTACCTCCCCCCCACACACACACATTGCTTGGTTTGAAACATAAAGTTTCTTTTTAGCTGTGGGGTTAGGAAACTGTTTATTGGCAGACAGCAGGAGCATCCTATGGCAGGAGTCAGCAGTTGTGGCCCTCCAGATGTGTTGGGACTCCATCTTTCATAGTGTCTCAACATTCTAGGATGATGAGGATGATGAGAGCTGTAGGTCAGACGCCTCTGAGGAGGCACTTTTGCCGACCTTCATCCTGTCCACTTTTACAGTGCTGCTACTGCAACCAAATACAGTGGTGCCTCACTTAACGACGTTAATTCGTTCCAGCAAAATCACTGTAGAGCGAAAACGTCATAAAGTGAAAATAAAAAAAACCATTGAAACACATTAAAACCCGGTTAATGTGTTCCAGTGGGCTAAAAACTCACCGTCCAGCGAAGATCATACGGCGGCCATTTTTGTTGCCTGTATAGTGAGGAATCCGTCCCTAAGCAAAGCGGGGAGCCATTTTGAGCACCCGGCGGCCATTTTGAAAACCCAACAATCAGCTGTTTTGATCGTCGTAATGCGAAGAATTGGTTCCCGAAGCAGAGAACCGATCTTCACAAAGCGAAAAAAAACATTTAAAACTAAGCGGTGAGGCGGATTCATCGTAATGTGGGGTAATCGTTAAGCGGGGCACGACTGTATTGTAAATGGGAAGTTGGCTTAGCTGAGAGTCTAGTTACCTATTTTAGTCCTGTTCCTTATAGAACTTGTGCTTCCCTTCCCTTTCCAAATTAGTTGGATGTTTTATTTATATTTATTTATTTATTTATTGGACTTATATACCGCCCCATAGCGCTACAACCACTCTCCGGGCAGTTTACAATTTAATTATACAGGCTACACATTGCCCCCCCAGCGAGCTGGGTACTCATTTTACCGACCTCGGAAGGATGGAAGGCCGAGTCAACCTTGAGCCGGCTACCTGGGATTTGAACCCAGGTCGTGAGCACAGTTTTAGCTGCAGTACAGCGTTTTAACCACTGCGCCACGAGGCTCAATGTTTTGTGGTATAGTGGATACAGTGATATACTAGGACTTTGGAGACAAATCCCCACTTGGCCATGGAATCTCACTGGGGGAGTGGAACTGTTAACGTTACTCCTTAAATATCTCACTTACCTTGAAAACCCTATTAGGGTCCTATACGTTCGCTCTGACTTGATGTCACATAACTAACTAAATTTTAAAAGGAAATACCATTGCTGCTTTGAATTACTAAGGAGAAAAGAACCTAAGAAGAGCCATGCTGGATCAGATCAGAAGCCTGTCTAATCTAGCATTCTACTTCCATTGTGGCCAACTAGGTGCTCATGTTGCCCAGTTGTTGGTAGTCAGAGGCGTGCTGCCTCTTATGCTCTTCCACAGTTTCCATGGATGATCCAGGTTCTGGTATTATGAGGGAAGGAGAAGAACGCTTCCTCTTGCATTTCCCTGTACCACACATAATTTATACAATTCTCTTACATGCCCCTTTACTTGCCTTTTGTTTCTAAAACAAAACTGAAATTTAATTTCCATTCTGATGAACTCCAGTCCTCTTGTGCGTGAGATGGGTAATAGCTGACAAATGTAGAACATACAGTGAATAGATGTTGGCAGGTTTCTGTGAACTTAAGCCCAAAAGAAGAGGGAATGGAAGTACTAGGTAGTTTGTTTTTCCTTCATAGACTAGTGGGGTAAATCAAAAAAAGTTGCTTTGAAATAAAAATTACTTCCCTTGCCTTTTCTCTACTTATTATAATTTTGTCATGGAGAAGAGACTATATCTGGCATCTGCCCTGTTTTATGCATGCTCTGTAAAAATTAAATGAGCAGAAGGAGAAAATACATCATTAAACTCTTGCACTAGTGTAGGAATTCCCAGTGAAGGGCACAGTCTGTTGGGGAATCCGTTGTCTTCAGTGTACAAAGGAACATTAACTTGGAAGGTACACAGGTGATACATGCTGTAGTGCAGTGGGCCCCAACCTTGGGCCTCCAGATGTTCTTGGACTTCAACTCCCAGAAATCCTGGCCAGCAGAGGTGGTGGTAAAGGCTTCTGGGAGTTGTAGTCCAAGAACATCTGGAAGCCCAAGGTTGAGGATCACTGCTGTAGTGCATAAACTCTAGCAACCCACACCAACGTTTAAGCAGTGGTTTGTGCGAACTGTAGACAGATTGAAATTTTTGGTTGGTATCTGGATAACTTAGGTAGATTGGAAAGGCTTGGTGCTTTCCTCTTGCTTTAACGCCAGCAACAACAAAAGTACATTTCCTTTCCCAAATTAGGATTCTCTCATTCTTCTGAATTAAATTTCCCTTTGTAAAGGATGGAGAATATGTAGCCCTCCAGATACCAGCTCTTTCACTGGCTGTGCTGGTGGGAGTCAGGGGTCTAAAACATCTGGAAGAGCTCAGGTCTACTGCTGTATATGCATTTCTTATTATGGTTTTATACATGGCAACGTATTCTTAAGGTGATGAGATTTGCCTCTTTTCCATGCTCCAGGACTGATAGGGCTAAACCACTGAAATTTGCCTTGTGTTTTGTTCTTTAGCTCACAGTTAATGAAGCAGCTGCTCAGTTGTGCGTAAAGGATAATGCGCTGTTGACCCGAAGGGATGAGCTCTTTGCACTGGCGCGGCAAATCTCTCGAGAAGTCACATACAAGTACACTTACCGGACCACCAAGTAAGCAACTCTTGTTTGTGTTTTTTTAGCAACCCAATTGCTCTCATGGGGGTTTATCATGAAGCATTAGAAATCTGTTTCTAGTCTTGCTTTGTTTTCAGGGCCTGATTCATCATATGTATGACTAACTGTAGGTGTGGTGGGAAGGCGTGAAAACCTGTGCATTTCCACTACACCTATAATGCTACACCTGTGACACACTAATGTCTTGGCGTGTGTCATGGAATCTCCCACCATTTTTGAGACGAGAGGACGCTACAGAGTACTCGTATACCAAGCCACATCATATGTTGTGCAGATGGGTTTTGAGCACTTTTTTTACTGTTGTTACAGAAAAGTGTGCTTGTCATAGACCAAAGGACTTCAGAAGGATTTACGAGTTTTATCTTCACGGAGAGGTTAAAAATCCATCCTATCAGTGTTAGAAAATCCTCACTTTCGTCCTAGAGAGAATTTTTTCACAACATTGTCCTAAAACATCTAATCCAGGAGCAATGTTTAGCCCTCAACAATTCTCATGAACCCTTACCTTTCTAGGATCAAGTCTGCTATTTATAATCTCCGCATGTTGCTGTGAGCATGTATGTATATAGGCAGACTCCGTTTGAGAAATGTAATTTTTTGTAGACTGAATATTACGGAAGATAGAAAGAGTAGCCTAAAAAGCTTGCACAAAAGCACCTGGAAGGCCAGATAATTGGGGCTCCGGTCCAAGACATATTGGACCTTTTTTACAAAACTTACTTCAGAAGTTTATGAATATGTTGTCTCATAATGTAGATTTAGGATTTATATTTCTAAACTAAAATCATATGGTTCTTTTTTTTTTGAAAAGCCAAAAAGCATTTTAACAATTAAAATGGGAATGTAATATCCAACTTAAGAAGTTCAGTTTTTTTTTTAATTGCTTTTTGTCCACTCGCGGGTCCAACAAGGGTGAACTACATGGTTCCACTGATCATGTAATTAAATCATATGAAAATTGTTTGTGAAGCTTTCTTATAATTCATATCACCACCCTATTTATTTCATATGTAAGAACTTTTGTGACAATTTCCCCCTGAAAATACTTTAAATATCTAGTGTAAAAAAAGTGTTTTTATATCCTAGGTCTAAATGTGGAGAAAGGGAAGAGCTGTCACCAAAGAGAATTAAAATAGAGGTACTGTACTTTAGCTTTTTCTGTGTGGTTGTAACTCCTGATATTGGCTTGTGTAAGGGGGAATGCATTATTAAGACATAAATTAGAGGATGGATGTGTGCTGCCTGGTTCCATTACTGAAATTAGGAACAGCACTTTGATGTTTAAATGAATGGCACAAAACCCAAAAGACGTTCTCTTTTGTTCCATCGGCATTCTTTCACTGACTGCCAAAATAAAGACTCTAAAACACAAATGACTTTTACAAAAGGGGTACACATCTGTTTAATATTTCTTTCATGTTCCCTCTTTTGTGTAATCTTTTGGCATCCTTCCCCCCCCCCACCATCATTTCTCTTTCAAATTGCCTAAGAAATTTTTTAATCCAACAGCATTACAAAGACTTCCATCAGCAGTCAATCAGAATGTCTAGGGGGAAGTGAATGGCAATTTTGTATGTATAAAAAGGCCTGGATTGGTAGGGACTTTGGAGGGGTGCTCTTTGTTTCAGCCATTGTTTTGAGATTCCTGTATGCTGAGCTCCTGGTGCTCTCCATCTTGGATTGTGCTGCCTGCCTGCCTGCTTGCTGTGCCTCCATCTTGGATCCATCCCTTCTTTTTTTGCTCCCCCCCCTTCATTTTTGGGTAGGTTTCCCCATTTCTTTGGTTTATTTTTGCTGCTGCAAGGATTAATAATCTTAGGAATTTTTTTGGGATTTTCCCATCCTGACAATTTGGGGATATTTTTCTCTTTCCTTTTTTGGGACCTCTCTTGTTTATTTTTCATCCTGCTGTTTCATGTGTGCTTTCTCTGGTTGATATATATTTTTAACTTGTTCTTTGGTTGCTTTAGTGTGTATTTGTTCTCATAAAGGTATATATTTTGGTGGATTTTTGTGTACTGGGCAGGTGGGGTTTATGACTATGCCAGTGTGGTTGTTGCTGCTTGGGCACAGTTTGGGGCTTCTCCTTCTTGTTACTCTTTGTGTTGTGGTGTAGGCAGTTGTTTGAGTGGGTGGGTGTCTCTGAGTGCCTGACAGCCAGTGCCTGACCAGTTGGCTGCTTCATTGCCTTTTTCCCCCTGTTGGTTTATCCAGACCCAGAAGGGTCTGTTGTGCTGAGAAGGTGGCAATGGACTCATACTGTGTTTTTCTCTCTTTTTCAATCTTTGATAGTTTTTTAATTGGTTGGTGGGTGAATGAGGTATTTTTTTTGCTCTGTACATAGGACTGGTGGGAGGCACCTTGGCTATCTTGTATGTGACAATATAGGTTAGTGCCTGAATCAGTCTGATGATGATTTTTTTTCCCCTCATGTAGTATTGCTTGCTTTGGAGTGGATTGATTCTCTGTTGCCTTTCCTCTGTCCTTCTGGAGTAGTCTTTAAGGCTTTTGGAGTGTCATAAAACACAAATGAAGAAGTATAAAATAAATTGACTTAAAAAAAGCTTTTCCTTTAATTTAAAATGAAAGGATCAGTGCATGAAAAAAATATGAAAATGCAAGTGACATCCACAAAAAGAATCCAAAGTCAAATAGATATAAATAATTTTACTGTGGAAGTCCCTGACTAAAATCTCATAAAATGCAGTGCATTCTGACTTAAATATACTGTAATACGTTTTAGCAAGACTCTGTTGAAATTAACCACTCAATGTTATTTGAACAGCCTGGTGGAAACTGCCAATTTTTGGTATTTTTGTGTCATTCAGGAGAGGCAGCTGTACATCTCCAGGTATTTCTGGCCCATGGTCCTATAACCTCTTCATTGTTATGCTGTCTTAAGGCTGTTGAGAGTTCTAAGCCAAAAATACCTGGAGAAGCTCAATGGTGGCCCATACCTAGCATCCTAATATATTACAAAAATCTCCTGCAAGTATAGATCTTTCCATTAAGTGACAATATCATTGTTGTTGTTTAGTCGTTGTGTCCAGCTCTGTGACCCCATGGACCCGAGCACGCCAGTATAATACAATATAATTACAGATATATAATTAGTCCTTTCCACATAAACAGCTCAATCTTTATTATTGTGAATGAGGAGGAGGAAAAAACCTTGTGGATACCAGATCCCTTCCCCTCAAAGGATTGCAAAGTTTGAGGTGGAGCTGGATGTGGGGAGGTTACCTGCAAGAGAAAGAAACATCTTCTTTAATTTGTTTGATAGGAAAAAAATCAAGTCAATTTATTATTTCAATATAAAATTTGTAGAGAAAATACCAATTTGAATTTAAGTACTTCACTATCAAACATTGGATTCATTGTACGAATTTTTTCCTCCTCAGGAATGAATTTGAATACTATTACATCTGATATCTTTATCCTACAAATCCTATTCAGCTCTTGTTCCAGTAAAGGAAATTACTGCTGTATAACATAAACATTTTTCTAGTATAGCTTCCTGACCTTTCATTCAGCTGTTGCAACTTATTATCCTCTGTTCCTTTAAGTTCACTGTGACAGTTTTCCGCAGGTTATAATTTGTGTTCGTTCTCAATGCTGAGCCAAGAATCCTGTCTAAAAAAAGTCAGGCTGTACATGAATGGTGTGTGGTTGCCTAAAGCTCAGTCTTTCCATTTTGCTTTTTTCCTTTGTGCCACAAGAGAAACTGGCTAGGTATCCCCAAATATGTGTGATGTAAGCTGCATTAACAAAAGTAAAGTCTCCAAATCCCACAAGATATACAGTGGGGTCTTGACTTAAGAACGGCTTGAGTTAAGAACATTTTGACTTAAGAACCACTCTCATAGGAAAATATTGACTTGACTTACATACTTAGATTTGAGTTAAGAACTGAAAAAAACCACGTGGGAGGCAGGGAAAGTGCAAAATTTGAACTTTCAGTTAACTGTTGGCCAGTGAAAAGGGTGCCTGTCTGCCTCCTCACTCCTCCCAGCGTTTAGAGAGTGGATTGGGAGACAGTCTTCAGACTGCCTGGTGCTGTACTGCCTGGACTGTATTTTCCCTGCCTTCCCTGAACCTTTCTTGACCTAAGAAAAAAAGAAACAAAATATCCCCCTCTAGTGGTCGAAGGCGGAATAGCAGCTTCCCATTAGTTTCTATGGACGGAAAAGAGCAGATACGGATTAAATGGTTTTCAATGCATTCCTATGGGAAATGCAGATTTGACTTGAGAACTTTTTGACTTGAGAACCGCCTTCCAATACGGATTAAGTTCTCAAGTCAAGACCCCACTGTAGTTCCCCTATATTCAGCACTGGTTAGGCCTCATCTTGAGTAATGTGTCCAGTTCTGGACACCACCCTTTAAGAAGGATGCTGACAAATTGGAAGGGCGAGGAGGAGGGTAATGATGATCAGGGCTTCAGAAACAAAGCCCTAGGAGGAAAGAACTGGGCCTATTTAGCCTTGAGAAAAGAAGATTGAGGGGAGATGGGGTAGCACTTTTCAAATACTTGAAAGGCTGTCATTCAGAGAAGGGGCAGGATCTGTTCTCGATCATCTCAGAGTGCAGGGCACACAAGAATCTGGAAGCCAGATTTCGGTTGAATATCAGGAAAAACTTTTTAATTGTTAGAGCAGTACAGCAGTGGAACCAGTGACCTCAAGAGGTGGTGAGTGCTCCAACACTGGAGGCATTCAACAGAAATTTAGAGGACTGCCTGGATCCTTTGAATTGGATTCCTGCATTGAGCAGGGGTTGGACTTGATATCCTTATAAGCCCCTTCCAAATTCATGATTCTATGTAATATATGTGAGCCAGGGATCATACTTAATTGTGTCTAAAAATGCCAGGAATTGTTGGCCAAATACATGCTTTATTAATCCAGAACCTTTTGAATTGACTTTGGTTTTTTGTTTGTTTTGTTTTTTTAAGGATCACTCAGTTAGCTCTGCTTCTTTGTTCAGCTCTTCTTAACAAGAGGAAAAACTCACAAAGAACAACCTGCTAGTAGTACTGGTATTGGGGGTTAGGATTCTATCTAATAGACCATACGGTATTACCCTTTGCAGTCTGGTTGCTGGTAGCTACAGAAATACAGTGGTGCCCCGCATAGCGAAGTTAATCTGTTCCAGGATTAATGTCGCTATCCGGAAACATCACTAAACGGAACTGAAAACCCTGTAGGAACGCATTAAACGGAGTGAAAACTCACAGGTAAGCGAAGATTCCCCATCCGGCCGCCATTTTCACCGCCTCGGTAAGCGAGGGCAGGGCGCGAAAACGGAGCGGGCAGCCATTTTAATCTTCCGGCGGCCATTTTCGAACCGCCGATCAGCTGTTTTTAGAACATCGCAATGCGAAGATCGGGATCATCACAATGCGATTTTTGGACTATCTAAACATCGCAATGCAATCGCATTAGCAATCGCAAAAAACACATCGCTATGCGGATTCGTCGTTAAACGGTGCGCTCATTAAGCGAGGCACCACTGTAAGGGCAAAGTGCAGCAGTCTTATGTATTCTTTAACCATTTTGTTTCAAAATAGATTTGGGATTTTTTCTCTAAGAGGCTTGATAAGGGATCGAGGATTCAGGAGTTGTACCCACCTAGTGGGATGCTGGCAACACAGAGTTCTCCGAATCTCCTACAACTTCAGGATTGGAAGGGGCATGTGTGACAGCTTGATCAGCAGTTAGCAGATTTCAGATCTCTGAGTCTGTTTTGCTTTTCTCTAGAATGCTAAGGCCTGCCACCCAGGGCCAGACAGAAAATGGTGCCCAGGAAGGGAAGACTTAGTTCGGTGCTGCAGCCCATGCCACTGAGATATATACAAAGGTTATTATGGATCAGAGTTACTAACATCATTATGAAATGAGCCAGCACAGCTGAAGGCCCAGGTCAAAATTAACTAGTTGAGATGTGAACAGCTAGCACCAGGCCAGCCATGGTAGAGGTGGATTTCAAAAACAAACAAATCACACAACTCTTGTTGATTTTGGACTCAGGAACCCTTGGAAAACCAGCCAAAGCTATGCTGGCATATCCCACTCTGCAAACTGCCTGTCCTTATATTAAACAGAACAGCAAGTACCCTGTACTTGAAGTTATCCATGG